GCGGACGCACCGCTGCCCGTCCCGATGTGTGAAAGCTTCTAATTACTTTGCCTTTTAGTCAATTTTAGTCAGGTTGCTGTCGGCAAGAGTCCTTAGGCTGCCCGCCGAAAGCTGATGGTACACCGGTGCCTGTTGGCTACACCATCATGCAACACGCTCGGGCAGCAGCCATGGCCATCCCCGGGGTTTCCGTGAAGACCAACTCCACCATGAAGTCGGGAGCCCGGCATGGTCCTGCATGTGTAGATTGCTGCTCTTGGAGCTAGGCCAGCTAGGCTTCCTTCCAAAAGCCTCGCCAGGCCATCAAGCATTTAGGCCTTTTGGGGAAAAACAAGCTCCACAGCGTCCTGAAATGCATGATCATGTGTCTCTGAGCAAGCGTGTTTTGTTGCTTCGTTCTCGCTTTCCCTCGCCGCTTCGCCTTTGTGGTCTACCGTCCTACCTTTTTTTTTGAAAACCCGTGGCCACTGTGGGCATCTATGGTCTGTCGGTGCGACCGCAAGGGTAGCCAAGGGCGCAACGACTGCGAAGGGAGGGCATGCTGAATGCTTTTGTTAGTGTAGATAATGTTGTGCTGCGCAAGTGGATAAACGGATCTCAGGAGGCTGCTACAGAAAACCCGCGAGGACGGAGCCTTGGAGGTCTGTGGCGTAGAGTACATGGATGCCGACGGGGAGCTGCAGACTTTGTCCTGCGATGCCGTGATCCTGACGACCGGCGGCTTTGGTTTTGACCACAGCGACGGGAGCCTGATGAAGCAGTACAGGCCCGACCTCGTAGGGGTTCCGACAACCAATGGCTCCTTTGCGAACGGCGATGGCATGAGGTTTGGCGCGGACGTTGGGGCATCCTTGGTGGACATGGACAAGGTCCAGCTGCATCCCACAGCCTTGATCGACCCGAAGGACCCACTGTGCCACACGAAGTACCTGGGCCCAGAGGCGCTGCGAGGTTCGGGTGGAATTCTCTTGGACCAGCAGGGACGGCGATTCGTGAACGAGCTCGACTTGCGCAGCACCGTCTCCGCTAAGATCTTGGAGCATTGCGAGGAGTACCATATAGAGGGCTCGGCTGTAAAGGGCAGGCCCTGGTCCTGGTGCGTCTTGAACCAAGAGTGCCAGCAGAAGTTTGGCTTGCCGATGCTCGGCTTCTACAAGAGCCAAGGCTTGTTCGAGGAGGTGACCGGCACAGCGGGCCTCGCAGCGCTGCTAGGCTGCGAGGAGCAGACCATCCTCGAGACTTTCAAAGACTATGCTAATGCCTGCGATCAGAAGATCTGCCACAAGACCGGCAAAACCGTCTTCCCCTCCAAAGTCACCGAGGAAGACCAAAGTTTCGTTGTGGCGAGGATCACGCCGTGCATCCACTACTGCATGGGCGGTCGCATGGACACGGAAAGGGGCAACAGGTTTGTCAGTGCTGGAGAGTGTGTCATAGAGGCCTAGTCTGACCTGGTCTTGCTCTGTATACATTCGCTGGGCAACCTAAGGCTTAGAGATCTCCCCAAGTGGCGAGGTCTTGACCAGGAAGGATGGAGCCATGGGAAAGCGCTCGAAGATCCACCGCTGCTTGACTGCAAACGAAATGCAAGACTCACAAGACTAAGCCTTGCGTCACCTTTTTTTAGAGCGCAACGGTACCGTACCAACAGCATGTTCTCGCTTTTTCTCAGCCTCCATGTGTGCGACTAAGCGTGGCCAGCGGTCGCTTTCAGGATTATTCGCGGCAGGGGAGTGCACTGGTGGAGTGCACGGTGGAAACCGCTTGGG